CACATACTTCTCTCAGTGTACTCAGTTGTAGAAGGATTCCCCAAATGGACACTTTACAAGGAGCACAGTTGGTAAGAACATAAGGAAATTATTTAGATGTTGTTAATTTTATTATTATAGAGGTGGTATTTTGATGGCAGTGTTCAGTGTTTCTCAGATGGTCACATTCCTCTTGCAATCATGAGTATTGTTAGTCTGCTCATCTGTATAGCTCTAGTATTGGGGTCTTTCACTTTTCCTTTTAAATTTTCAAATGTAAGTTTGCCCTAACAAAATTTTGTGTTTAAAATTATTGTGTACATCCTAGAATTGGTCTATTCTGCGACGGTTTCAAACAAGCTGCAGTAAAACGTTCACAACTAGCTATTGGTGTGGCATTGAATTAGCCAGGAGACTTGTGATCCTAATAGCAATAGCAATCTTTCCAAGCAGCATAGTAACTGTTATAATTATAATAATGATTTTATTATCTATAATGCTAGGTTACAGTAATAATGTTCCTTATGGTATTTTTGACTCTGTATGGCTATGTTGGACCACATATGAAAAAGCTGCACAACTTCAGTGAAATGATTGTAATGCTTTGGCTCATTGTTCTTCTGATGGTGAGTATTAATCCTCAGCTACATGAAACAATGATTAAAGCCAGCAAGAACTCAACAAGTATACCTAACTGCAGTAATGAGAGTCAAACTATCACTGATTTATCTGTACTACTGGCTGTACTCTACTATTTTCCAGTTGTCATTTGCTTAGTAATTTTCTGTTTTTCAATACTGAAAACAAAGTTAGTAAACATTTACGATTATGGCATCCTTTATGATTATTTTTGTAGAATAAAGAAACTGAAAAAAGTTAATTTTAAAAAGAGTAGATCTAATGATATTGATAGGTCTTACATGTTGCTTGATGAAACTGTACGTAAATCAGTCCCTTTTACTGAAATTATTGACCCAAGTGATGACACAGAATTTTAAACAAACTATACCTATACATGTACTTGTGTGTCTATTATTATAAGTGAAAATATTATTTAGAAAAAAATTACAATTATAATATTAGAGTTTAGTTGACACAATAACAAAAGTATTTTAAATTACACATCTTCATCGTCATCTAGCAACGTTCCATCTTGAAGATTAACTCGAGCGTAATCATCAGTATCGATCGATTTGCAGAAATAAACAGCATATCTTAGCTTTTCCTCTAGAACTGGTTTACATGAATAGCGAGGTAACTTTAGAAGGAAGAAGCATGTGTATGATTCGGGAAGATAATGATCAGGAGGAAAATACTTGTCTAATATCTGGAACAAAATATAATAATTAATAATAAAATACCGGTATAATTTTAGCTTACTTGAAGTACAAAATCTCTTCCTCTAAAATCTGCTGTTGTCCGAGGTAGTCGAGTTCTGCCCCAAACAAATCTTAAAAACAAAGAGCGCTCATTTCTATTAAAAGACTCCATCACTTCCCAGAACCAGCGAACAAGTGGGGCATGTGGCTCAATCCCTTTATAAGTAGTCACTGACTTTAAGAGGTCAATAGGAATGTCATGACTGCCACAAACCATTGTCTCAATTTCAGGCCCAGTAAAAACATGGAGGAGCGGAACCGGAACTAAATTTGACATACCCTCTCTGACAGCCTTGACCTGTTGATCGAACTCGTGCAAACGAAAGTGCATTGCCAGACGGAAATATTCTTGATAATTGTTCATAGTCACATGAGTCTTTGATGAATGAAGAGGTATGTCTTTTCCACTAGCACTCGGTGTGGAAAAGTCGATTCCTATAAAGGCTTCAGGGTTTTCTCTAATAAACATTAGCCCTTGAACATAGTCTGTATCCATTTCAGATAAATCTTCAGGTGTGAGTGACTGGCCACTGATTTGTTTCCAAACTGGAGGAGCTAATAGTAAATTGATGGGGGCACCAGAACGAATGGCAATACCAAGCAATACACCAAAAAACCGGAACATGTTGAGATGAATGGAAGACGTGGCTTCCGGATTGAATATAAAGCAATCTCTATTGACGCCTGTGTCTTCTCTACCATTGGGGGTTTGTATTAAAAGCGGTACCGACCCATTTTGTAATTCGTCGCACATTTCTGCAATAGATTCGGAATAGCCTCCACCGCAATCATCAACACTTTCACCAATAAACTTAACCTTCCACACTCTATGCGGCAGGAGTAAGTCGTCTGATACTAGTATACTCCATTTTGAACACATTTGACCAAATACTGACATTGAACCATCAGGGCCAGCCAATCCCGTCCCTTTTGAGCGTGATCGTTTAACTTGAAGACGATTTAATTCTATGACAGGACCGTGCTGCTTTGCTTGAGTCATGGTAGCTTTAATAACGCGACGGAATGCCGACTCCTAGGACAAATGAAATACCAGTCAATACATACACAATAGGGCTGTAAACCAGATTCAGGTTAACAGGCTAATCAAGTGGTTACAGCAGAATTTCAGGCTATCAGTTATTTTTAGCCATAACTGGTTTTATAAAATTAATGATTTTATGTACTATAAAGCCAAAAATTAATCAAATTTTTAGCAAAAATACTTCTGAAATTTAAAAAAATAGACCTTTTGACTCACAAGACAATGTGCTATATCATTCAAAAAAGCATATAAGTTGTGTTGGTTAAATTTTAAATTTATTATTTATTGCAATTATTATTAATGTTAATTTATAGTGTAGTATTACTAACAATACTTTACCTTTGATGAAGAATGAATGATGCCTCTTAAACCATCAGTGCTAAGCTCCACTGAGTCTTGAGAGGGATCCGTAGACTGATGCAAGGTAAAGAGTGCCATTGATTTACAAAATATATTAGAGAAATGTTGGAGAAGTATCAATCTATTCCTAAGTACGGGTAACGAAAAATGTTGCAAATGATTAAATTCCATTGGGACTTTAGCAGGCAGTGGACAAGACAAGTTACGCTGCTTCGACGACCAAGCAATAGAATGGGCAGAACCACAGGCAACATGATCAATGCATATATTATCGGTGATGTTGATTCTCTACAAAATGCAAAAAATAATAATATAATAATTGCATAAAATTTGGCATATTATTTCACTTTTGGAACTGAAACTGCTTGTGTTGTATCGTTGCCGATTTGTCCTTCATCATTATCTCCCCAAGAGAAAACTTTACCACTTTCAGTACAAACAATGCAATGGAGAGAGCCACAGCCAATATCAATCACATTCTCGTGTGCTAATAAACCAAGCACACGCCTCGGGGTACGCTGATGAGAATCATCACCATGACCCAATCGATAATAATCACCTTTGCCCCTTTTAAAAAATAAAATTATCATTGTAAAATTAACAAGGAAGCACGACTCACCATGTATAGACATGCCCTGCAGTTGTTAATGCCATTGAGAACTGGGAGCCGCATAAGAGCTTAATGACGTGTTTTCCAGTCAAACTGTCTATCTTCTTGGGGACTTTACTACCTTCGTTGCCACCACGTCCCAGTTTACCGTAGTCACCATCACCCCAGGAGAAAACACAACCACTAGCAGTGGCACACAATGTCTGAGCATCACCACTACCACAGGCAACACATGTTACCTGTTCTCCCTTTAAAGCAGATACCTAATAAAAAATAAACAAATACATTAGTGTTGTTCTAACTAAAATGTCATTTAGTTTCGTTATTTTTAGCTAATTTTAATTCTAAAATCTAAAACTACAACTAAAACTAAAGTTATTTTAGTAAATAATAATAATAATAATAATAATAATAATAATAATAATAATAATAATAATAATAATAGTACGAACCAGTTTTGGTTTGTGTTGTGTTTCATGATCATTGTGGCCAAGTCTACCATATCTTCCTTTGCCCCATGTGTACAAGCTCCCATCATCAGTAATACAAGCACTGTGTGATGATCCACAACCGGCATCAATGACATGCTTGGATTTGAGGGACTCAATCAAATGTGGCACATTCATATTCCTAAAGGTAGATAAAATATTTGGAATTATTGCTAATGGCATTGATTTAGCATGTACTAATTTTTGCAGTTTTGCTCTTTTCTCAATTAATTTATAACTATTAATGAATCTAGATCATTAATAAATGTGAGTAGTTGAGTACTATTTTTTGTGATTTTAAAGCCATTCACAAAAATAGTACTCACAAATACATAAAGGCTTTAAGATAATTAGAGCCCAATGCTAATACAGTGCATGTACCGTATTTTACCAATTAAACGCCTGGGCATTTATTTCTTAGCAGCAAAAACTCATTGAAAAAAATTAAAAAGTTACTTGGAGCAGGACAGAACCCCCAACTCTGAGCAAGTCAGACCAAGCACTAATTTATAAGCACTATGGAGCTATCTAAACAGTAGGGTATTATTTTTGGTACAAATATGCGTATCTATAGCTAGAATAAATTAATGACAGGCGTATATTTGGACCAGGTGTTTATATGGTAAAATACGGTACATACACAGTTGTTCCTAATCCTAGTTTTCCATCTTCTCCTTCTCCCCAGGCGTATAATTCTCCTTGAGTTGTTACGGCAAGACAGTGTTTGCCTCCTGAATGAATAGCAATCTTTTTAACAGCAATCCCTCGGGTGGCTAGTGACGTGAGGGGAGTGGGCGTAGCTACGTTGTCACTGCTACCAATTCCGAGTCTACCATGAGCTGCATATCCTGATGCATACACCTACAGTGAACAAAGATACTTATAATGATGGTGAATATCGAATGACAGAATTAATTGTATTGCTACATGTACACTGTACATGTAAATACCATATAGTGGGAAATTTTGGGTAGAGTTAAATTTGGCAAATTGTTAAATTCTGGTGATTTTTTAATTTGGCAAATTTGTGGCCACGTGCCATTTAGCATGTGAACATAATGGCTCAAAATGGCAGATTTTAATTTTGATAAATGGCTGTAAAAACGCCAGATTTAACTCCCTCCAAAATTTCCCCTGTACAATATTTAATTACAAAAAAGTCTGACTGACTTTCCCATCATCAGTGACAGCAAAGAGTGTTTGTTCTCCTCCAGTGATCATGGCAGGATTAAGCTCAGACAAACTTTCACAAAGTCGAGGAGATTTGACTTTATTTCCTTCGATCCCTCCCAGCTGACCACGATGATTGTGACCCCAACCAAAGACTGAGAATGTACTGCCTGTTGGTAGAGTCCAATCTTTGGGATACCTAAAGGATATTTTTAAGAGACCATAAATGAAATACATGTACATGTACACAAGGGAGTGGATATAATTATCTAATTAAAGAAATTACATTTACATTGAAAAGGCAATAACTCATACAGTCAAGGTTTTCAGGATTTTGACATAGTGCTCAGGACTTAAAAAAATTTAACCAAATTTTCTGTACTATAGTACAAAAATTTTTGCCAAATTTTTCCAAAAAAACTAGAAAAGAATTTTTCATTTTTACAATTTTGTGTGATACATATACATGTTCTTATATTGTGTAGAAAGTTTGAGATGATTCCAATCAAACTTGGATTTTTTTTATAAATCTTTAAAGTTACTTATAAAGCCATATACACATACATACGTCTATTGTAGTGCTTGTCAGCTCCTGAAGCTCTCATGCGGTTTTAACTCACTTAATATGATTTGTGGGAAACACTTCATGCAGCAATCTTAAGTAACATTTTAAGCTTAAACTTTGAATGAACAACTACTAATACATTAGCTATTTAAGATTACTATCAATCAAATCATACTATTGCTACTAAAATAAACAGGTATGTCCTATTCCTAATCCAGATGCTACTTACCTTTGCATCCATAAGAGAAGCTGTTCATCTTGCTCTTGTCTAAACATCACATGATCCTCATGCTCTCTATCAAATACTTCCGAAGACTTACGTACCATCTCAATGCGTTCATTGACATCAGCAATAAACCTAAAATAAAAAAACCCATGTATATGTCAAAGAGAAAGTTAAGAGGGCATACTTAGCAGGTGCAAGTGTTCTGTTCTGAAGGGATTTGGCCATTCTAGCTGCCATACAGTATTGAGTGAACCACGCCCATTTAGCAGTATCAGAGCAGCAGCCTATAGTGTCCAACTCCAAATCACATGCAAAGGCAGCAAGTGACTATAAAAAATGACATAAAATTATTTACGCATGTATATAGCGCAAAATTTTTGAGGGCTGTAAATTTCGTGGATTCTGTAATTTTTTGAAGATTTACAATAATTGCTTCAGCAAAATTAAATTATTATGATATAAGATGGCAGACAGCATAAATTTGTGACAATTAAATCTGCAAAATAGGTTTTTAGGCAAATTAACAAAATTTACATCCCTTGAAAACTTTGTGCTATACGGTAGTATACATGTATGTGCAGTAGTATTATATATATATATATATATAATTGTGTACATGTAGCATGCATACATGTACATGTACCTGAAAGAAAGTGCTGTGTAGTAACTGACTCCCACTGGTGACATGTGATAGTTCATACTTGTATTGCTCCAATAATGCATCAGGCAGACCACGGAATAGTGCATATAGAGATGACAATGATCCAGGACTCTATGAAAATATCATCAGTAATAACACTGTAGAGTTACAATCTTTCAAGCCCCAAAATTTTTCTAAAATTTTGTATTTTATTCAAAATTCATGTAATATGATTCAACATATGACCAAAAAGCAGAAAATTGCAAACCATAAAATACAATTTTTGGGTGAATTTGTAAAATTTTTGGGTCATGAAAATTTCTCGCTATACGGTATTCCAGTAATTGTTATACTTACTTGCTTAGACTCATCTTCAGGAGCAATTGCTCCACCATTGAGGACTACACCCATCGGAGAATTAATCAGCTTCCTCAACTGCTGAATGGCCCATGTCCTCTGGCAAGCATCTAATATATTCAATTGAGCACACGAGGCAAGAGCAGCCCCCAAACGTCCAATAGACTCGTCACTGGGATTAGCATCAAGTTGAAAGTCAAGGAGACAAGTCACTAGATCAATAGAAGGACGCGACTGCAAAACACGATCAGATAACTGGACCTCCTTTGATGTCTCGGGTAGGAGTGGTTGTATAGTTAGACGAAACCCCCATCCATTGACAGAGCCGTCACTTTCAAACGACCACTGGAGTGTGTCACCAACAATACGTACATCATTAGACCAATCTAATGCATCACGACCGGACCGTACAGCAATGACAGCCCCACCCCCGTCTTTAATAGTAAGGACATCATGTCGTCTCTCAGTCGAGCAGTTAGCATCGAAAGAGACTAGGAGAGCTTCGGCCCCTGGAATGTTGACAACTCTGCCAAACTTTGCATTGTCGGGGTAGGGATGGGGGCTCTCTTCAACTACTGGGTGGGCAGAGTTGAGTAATTGAGGCTCACGAGCAACGTCTTCTAATTCACTGATACACAACTCCATTAGCATTGAAGAAACCTGTAATGAACATGTATAATATATAATATACACAAAAATGAATGTGTAACTGAAATGTGAATGTACATAAATAATAATTATAGTATACGCATTCATATATGTGTACATGTATTACTAAAAGTACACACTGGTGTTGTTTTTAGTTAACTTAAACTAAAACTCAGAGCAAGGCATAAATACATTATAAAACTACACTAAAATATTTTTGAAAAAATAGCAGTTAATGAAGATATTAACCCTTTTAATGAGGCTATTTTAACACTGTATACATGTACATGTACGTAAATAACTAAATTGATAGAATTTTGGTGTTTTCTTAAAATGGCCATAACTTGAAAAATTGAAGTCAGAATCACCTCAAACTTTCTACACAATATAAGGACATCAATATGAATCAGAAAATGTAATTAAAATTTGGGGTGATTTCGGAGCCATTTTTTGGAAAAACCATGGGCTATAGCCTTGGGTATTTTTCAGAATTTTGACGTTTTCTTAAAATGGCCTTAACTCGAAAAATTGAAGTCGGAATCACCTCAAACTTTCTACACAGCATAAGGACATCAATATGTATCAGAGAATGTAATAAAAATTTGGAGTGATTTTGGAGCCATTTTTTGGAAAAAACCATGGGTTATATAGCCTTGGGTATTTTTCAGATTTTTGACGTTTCCTTAAAATGGCCGTAACTTCAAAAATTGAAGTCGGAATCACCTCAAACTTTCTACACAGTATAAGGACATCAATATGTATCAGAAAATGTAATAAAAATTTGGGGTGATTTCGGAGCCATTTTTTGGAAAAAACCATGGGCTATAGCCTTGAGTATTTTTCAGAATTTTGGCGTTTTTTTAAAACTTTTTTTTAAATGGCCGTAACTTCAAAAATTAAAGTCGGAATCAGCTCAAACTTTCTACACAGCATAAGGGCATCAATATGTATCAGAAAATGTAATAAAAATTTGGGGTGATATGGAACCATCTTTTGGAAAAAACCATGGGCTATAGTCTATGCTTTTTCTGAAAATTTGCTACTTTTTAAAAATGGCCATAATTTAAAAACACACACATGTTACATGTACTGTATTCACCAAATACAGTCAAGAAAACAATACTTATTACATTGCAATGTTTGTCAGTAACTTACATCCTGATTGGCTTTGCCCATTGAATTCAATATCACTGATAGCGTTTCCTTCCCCTTTTCACCAACCCTGCCAGCCACAGCAAGCTTCAACAAATCAACCAGGACCCTGGCATCCTCCACAGTCAATAGAGTAGTATACTCATCAAGCAAGGATGCTTCTTGTTTCTCATTCTCTCCAACATGCTTAGGAACTATACTACTGATTGGTAAACCAGCTGTGAGCTCAACAGAAGATATTCCAGCTCCTTGCTTCTTCTCGTGAGCACTAGCATGAACTATGCCACTAAGAGCATTGACAATAGTATCACGTGCATATGCAATCTGTAATGCTGTCAATACATGACCCAGAGCCTCTTGACGTTTGGAATGCTGCTTGAGCGATATAATAATTTGAGTTAGTGATGGTCTCTCTTTGTCTTTGGTTTCTTTAGCATCGTCAGAGCTTTTCCCATGAACTATAGAAGCACCCAAAGGATCCTTTGAATTTGAGAAAGATATCGGAGAAAACTTAACAGCAGTTGTGAGTGATCCTTGAGCAAAGGCAATGCTGTGAGAAGAGCCACAGGCTATTTTACAAATTCTGTGTCCTTTGAGACTAGCTACAATTTGTGGCTTCCTATTGCATATGGTGCTATTGTTACCTTGCTGCCCGTGTTCGTTATCACCCCAGGAATAAACCTAACAACAACAATAAATAGTAACAAAGTGATAAAGGTACAAAAAATATACAATTAGTTACTAAATATAGTAGCATTAGTTGCCGTTACTAAATATAGTAACATTAGTCACTGTTACTAAATATAGTAACTTAGCCACCATTACTAAATATAGTAACGTATTGAAACTGAGCTTGTACATGTATTATAATGTACATGCATGTAATAGAATTGCTTACCTCACCACTACTAGTTAATGCTAGACAGTGGAGTGCCCCCACAGCAACTTGTGTGATAGTCTTACTGGCCAATCCATCAACAAGTGTTGGTATGGGCTGTACACTAGTGCTATCATTGCCCAAACGATAATATTCACCTTTCCCCCTAAACAAAAACAATCAAATAAAGGTCACTTAACAATAGAGCCAGGTAACATATTATTCACTCTGCCCATAATGTAAATCTATTAATAATTTCGTGCCATAAATTACAACCTTTTAACCTTTTGCCTAATTTCGTTCAACTTAATGTTCATAAATATTCAGCTAACAAAATACATGTACATCAGTTGTGTAAATTGTTAATATACCCAACAGGGCCAACACTGCAAAAATGTTAAAAAGGTCGATTGTTAGATGATTTAGGTGTACAGCATATTGAAAGTGATGCATAATTGAGTTTCTTACTTTCTGTTCCTCCTCTCTCTCTCTCTCTCTCTTCCACACATCACTGTATATCTATGCCATTACTTAGTACAGGAACTACGCATTTGGGTACACCAACTTGGCTGTCATAAGACCCAATCTCCTAAGTACCCTGCCAAATGAGTTATAGTAATTTCACTGGAAAGCTACAGATAGCATAGTAACTTGGTAGACACTTCAACTGTTGAAATTCTAAGTACCGACAATGGGATTTATTGACGAGTAAAAAATTTGACGAAAACAGTAAATTTCCCCGGTTGGCAAGTTTTAATTTGACGAATAGTGCTCTTTGCATACATGTGGCACAAAGTACAAAATTTTTGACGGTTATAAAATTTGACGTTTTATTTTAAATCGTCAACTCGTCAAAATAAAACCTTCGTCAATAAATCCTGCTATATGGTATACAGTCATAGGGCTTATTTCAAAATACCATATATCGGGTATATTTCAATGTATTAATAATTTCAGAAGAAGCAATCTATTGCAAAAATAAATATTATGAAAATTTAAAATATGCGGATAAAAAGGAATAGAAGATATGTGGTATTGTGCAATTAATATGAACACGTGGCTTCATAACTATCCATGCATGGCCTAACTCGAAGGCCATAAAGAGGGCAGTTAGAAGTGTTGCTAAGGTTGATTCAGAAGTGGAGAAGTCAGCAAATGCTTCGATTTACTTACCAGGCCAGGTGGTTGATGGAAATAATAGCAAGTAAAATATTTTCGGAATATAAGGGCTTCCGAATTTTTTCATCATTGAACTTTATATTTACACCACTTTTCATGCATTGAAATATACCTGATATACGGTAATTGATGCCATGCAATGTAAGGTAATGGTAGCGATTGCTGCTTACGGCATTTCAAAAGGTAGAATATATATTTCTTTTTAATAAATTAATATCAAGGGAAATGCTCACACTATTTCACAAGAAAGTAAATGATCACGTTGGCTTTGTTTAACAGCAGAACTGAGGCTCTAGCTGGATCATACTTCCATCACCTCCAACTGGCTGTAACTTACTCAAATAGTTTCAAGTTACCTTTTAATGTCTTTCTATGTCATTTTTATCATACAAGTGATCATTATCATAGATATTACAAGCAAATGAAACACATTAAAAATGAAAAAGTAGTAGGATTGAATTGATAAGAAAGTAACGAAACAAGAGGGTACTTGCAAACTGGTGTGGTAAAAAAACTATACCACTGCATGATGAATATAATCCAAAGAATAGTAATATCCCACACAGACTGCTACATGATAACACTTTGAAGCCTTCATGCAGTGGTGTAGGACTATTTACCACACCAGTTTGCAAGTACCATCTAGTTTCTATACCTTTTTCTCAATTCAATCCAACTACTTCTACATTTTAAATGTTTTTTTATTTACTTGTTTTTATTATTTTTTCTTAAAATAATAAATTACATTTTGTTTGTGCATAAATAAAATGACGTCAAACCACAAACTGTCAAACCCACACGGTGTCTTCAGCTGGATTTTGTCTTCCATTTTGTTCTCCTTGCTTCTTTTTTAAACCACTTTTTTAGTCCTTGGCCCAAGCACAAAGGAATGATGTAAAAGCCAACTCGAGCGGTTTCCTGGCTTAATAGATTTCCGTGCTGATAGAAGATGAAAGCTGGAAGAAGAAAAGTCTGAAGAATTTTGCAGAAATTTGCCAATTTGGACCTGTTCTTCAGAATCACTCACGCTGCATTACAGTCCACTTTAAAGGTACTAGGAGAATTTCTCAGTAGAGGAAAGCTTATCTAAGCTATTTATAAGGCTGTACAACATAAGATAAAAGAGTTATATAAGTGTTTGAAAATCATAAAAACGGCCGCCATCTTAAAAAACCAACCTCAATCCTACATATAAGCTACTGCCTGTATAATATTTAGCTAATTATTGATCCTTTTATGTACACTTGCAAGTTCAAAGTAAAATTTTAATTGTACAAGTATCCTCTAAGTGGAAAGTTCAGTGTGAAATTATTTTGCAGCCAATAGCTTTTCTAGTAAATTTTTGAATTAATTTTGTGTAGCAAATTTGTAAAGGGGGAGAAAGGAAAAGAGACAAAAAAAACTAAACTACAGTTGGCTTCCTCATTACACATGACTACTATACTGTAGTGCCTCAATACAAGGATACTAACAGTGTACTGTATATACTGTAAACAACTTATATCTAATTGACAAGGATACAATACAAGGATATACTGTATTGTATATTGTAGGCAACTTATATTTTATGAACACTGGTGAAGCATAAAGAGTGTTTACCAACTGCGTGCAATGTGCATTAAACATTAATGGTAAGTTCTCTCGTACATGTATGTGAATCAAAATTATTTGAATCATCAACATGCAATTAGTTGAAAGTAGCGTAGCTGGCATTAGTTGCTGGTTCATTTTAAATTTAAAGTTTTATGAAAAGTCTGACTAAACCTTCAATGGCTGTCAGAAGTGACTATGATGCGTATGCATGTATCAATTATCAATTGAACGATTTACTCATTGTCATTCTTCATGATTAGTCTTTATGAATATAAGTTGTTTACAGCATGGAGTACAGTGTATCTTTGTATTGAGGTACTACATTATACTAGATACAAGGATTTTCCCTTTTCTCCAAGTCACAAAATTTTGCATTTTCATTGCTATTTTTACTAGTAAATAATTGGTCGCTCATCATCATTTTGATGTTATAATAACCAGCTTGCAGTGCAAACAGTAACACTTCATAATTTGAAATTGATTTTGAATAACTGTTTTATTATAAGCCAAAATAACTAATTAATCAAAAATGTAATATTACAGGTAAGCAAAAATAAACTGTGCATGTCCTATAGTGTTGCATGAGTCCTAAAGTTCTTGGCTTTTAGCTGATGAGCTCCATTACTGAGCATCACAATAGTGATAACAGTAACTATCAGCATTCCTGACTGTATCAGCAGGTCTGGTTTTAGCCAAATCCTTGCACCCGGAACGACCATAAACAACATCGTCAGTATTGCCAAAAATATGAGACCATTCATGAATCAGTGTACCCGCCTTGCTTTCACCAGATCTGCTGCAAGATGTTTGAGATCTGTAGTACTGGTTACAAAGATAGACGGTATCTTTAATATGCTTAAATATATAGGCATAAGTGTTAGCCGAACAAAGTGGACCATTGTTGTAGTATTTTACAGCAGTGTTAGTTAGTCCAGTTTTTATTTCTGAATATACTTTTTTAGCTGCAGCTGTCCTTCCAGCATCATATGCACCAAACCATGTAGTAGATATAGTAATATTATCGCCAACTTTACCTTTAGCTGTATCAGATCCAGAGCAGAGCCCCTTATGAGCAGTGAGTGTTGCACTGTTTTGAACATCACCATTAACGAAACTAGCACTGCTACAGGATTCGACATGGACAGTGTAATCGATTTTTACTTCTTCTATCTTTGGTTTCA